TGGGTTCCTGTGTCACTAACACTAGCTCTGGTCTTTCTTAGCCAGACTGCAGCATTTTCTTTCTCTCTTTATGCATCATGGCTGTTTCCTAGCAGAAGTAACTGGGGATCTGTATTACTTAATCACTGTATTTGTCAGAGTATTATGGCAGGTTACTTCCTAAAGCAGTTGGACCCAAAACACTAGGGCCCTTCTGTAAAAGCTCTAGTGTCCAGACTCAGATATATGCATACCAGCTAGCCTGGTTTCCCTGCGTAGCTACTCCGCGGAAATACTTTTCTCCATTGCTCTCTTCAGTGATTTTTCACCTCTGGCCCTGTGCATTACACATCCTACGTTAGTTTTTCTGACTGACTGCTTGAATGTATTGCTACTTCTTTGTTTTCTACTCTAGGAATTTACTCAGCTTCCACTTTGGGGTGTTTCTTCCTTTGATTGTCAGTACTTTGTAACTGGTTTTGTTGTTGTTGATAGTGCTGTTTGTGGTGGTGCTGTTCTTAAGAGCTGGGAGGGAAAAAGGGTGATGTATTGAGTGATATAGTTGCCAACTGTGATTATTCTCAGAAGAGTTTGTGTTTAATATTCTCCATTTTATGACCAGTTTCTGGGAAGTGCCCTGGGATGCAATACCAGTTTTTCTTCATCTTAGCTCTATTACGTAGTTTATAAACCCTTTCTTGGTGTTTGTATGACCACAGATTTTTGTGTCCTATACAGTCTACTGTATTTTCCACCAAAAGTTTTTTTCTTCTATTCTCATTTTATTTCCATTGTCAACTATTCCATTAGCTTCTCATAGAGAACTGGATTTGAAACCTGGCTTTGTTTCTCTTACTACCTGTTAAGTCTTAGGCAAGTTACTTGATTTCTGTGAGCCTGTCTAAAGTACAGGTCAAAAGTGGGCAAAGTCTGGCCTGCCAGCCATATAAGATCTGCAAAATCATTTGATCTGGCCCTGCCAAGGAAACTGCAGGCAAGACTCAAATTCAATAAATCTATAACTGGCTAATTTTCAAGTTGATAATGTCATATGGCCTCTGAATGATGTTATAAATATCCAAATGATCCTTGACAGAAAATCAAGTTAGCCATCCCTGGTACAGGTGATAATACTTTCACCATATTTTTAATGTGATGGTTAAATGAGATGATATCTGTGAGAATGTCTGGCACAGTGCCTGACTCACAGTGGGACCTACTACCTGTATATTCCATTCTCTCCTCCTTTCTTCTTCTTCGTCTTTAGTTTTGTACTAGAAGTAACAAAAATTGTTTTCATAATTCCACAAAGCATGTCTGTTCAGTGGGGCATGAAGCTTTGTTTCAACAGGATTCCCTGGCATACTTAGAAAGGCTTCTAAAAGCACCTAAGTGAATCTAGACTGCATTTCCATAATTCAATTTGTGTCACTGGTTTCAGTAGACACTCATGGGTCATACTGAGTTTTTTTAGTGACTTATCCTATACATGGCAAATATCCATTGCATAACTATTTACCTGTAATTCTTCTCAGATACTTTTGATTTCTTTTCTGTACTCCTTACATACTGAAGTAAATGGTCATTTCTCCTTCATGCTTTCTCAAGTAAACACTATCTGTCATAGTGCTTACCCTGCCAACAAGACACTCAAGATTGGGACTTCTGCACCTGGACCAATCATCAACTCTAGTATACAGTTTTTCAGAGATGCTGCCGTCCCATTTAAACATATATCTATTCTTTTTGCTTGCAAATTGAGCTTCAGTTTCTGATAAATCCTCTTTTTCCTTCATCTGCTAATCTTCCAAATGATTGGCTGTAGTCCTTACTCACTGGCTTATCTTTGTAACCATAACCACTTCTAGGCATATAGAATTGTCCACATTTCTCATTAATTTTGTGAATTCAAAGTACCTACTTTTTACTTAGAAAAAAACAAACCTAATGCACTTCCATAGGCTCTGTTATACAGAGTGCAGCTTTTTAGAATTCTCTGGTTATCTTACTTATCCCTAGTTCCAGAAGGCATGCAGTTCTTTTATATTTGTATTTATTTCATTTAAAAAGCTCAGAAACAAAGACAGAGAGACAGAGAAAAATCTATTTGTCATTCACTTGTTGACTCTCCAAATGCCCACAATAACTGGGACTGGACCAGTTCTAAGCAAGGATCCCAGAACTCTATTTGGATGGTCCCTGTGGGCGGTAAGGATCCAACTACTTGAGCTATCACTGGCTGCCTACGAAGGTACACATTAGCAGGAAGCTGAACTCAGAAGTGGAGTTGGGCCTTGAACCCAGGTACTCCAATATAAGATGTAGGCATGCCAAGCAGAATCTTAGATACTAGGCCAAATGTCTACCCTGCATATGTGATTCTTAAGACACAGTTGCTCAAATGATTTCAGCCCTGCCTTTATGTATCTCACACTTCTTTTGTATTTGTTTTTCCATGCAGTTAACACAAATTTTTCATTACAACAAGAACATCCAGATATATCACAGAAAACAGTACTTACATACCTACTGGGCATGACTGATGAGAACAGTGCGACTCAGAACCAGAAATTTCCCTTGAAATCATCAGAACTGATACTCTCTCTAAAGTAACAATCTCATTTTGATAAATGATTATCTGACTTCTAGAGATTGACATCATTATCACATGATGATATTTTTAGAATGTTCTGATTGGTATAGAATTTATTGGAGTGTTGAGCTGAAATGTAGTTTATTATAATTTTCACCAAGTGAAATAGGGTCCGAGTTCATCCCTCCTCAAACACACAGTTCTTTTCCACATGACAATCCTTCAAACAGTGGAAGATGTTAATATATTGCCTGTTAAGTTACTTCTTTTCTAAGCCAGCCCAGTTCTTCTGTTATCAGAGCTTCCACACTCTTTACATCCTAACCATTCGCTTCTAGATGCTAACATATCAACATTATCTCTAATGTTGCATTATGAACTAAGTCAAGGGGTGGGTGTTGTGGTGTAGTGGGTTAAGTTACTGCATGGGATGCCTGCATCCCATATTGGAGTGCCTATTTTGAGTCCTGACTATCCTGTACTTTTTAAAATTATTTATTTAGTTAGTTGGAAGTCAGAGTTACACAGAGATAAGCGGAGGCAGACAGAGAGAGGTCTTTCATCCACTGGTTCACTCCCTGGTTGGCCGGAACAGCCAGAGCTGTGCCAATCCGAAGCCATGGGTCAGGAGCTTCTTCCGGGTCTCCCATGTGGGTGTAGGGACCCAAATACTTGGACCATCTTCCACTGCTCTCCCAGGCCATAGCAGAGATCTGGATTGGACGTGGAGCAGCCAGGACTTGAACCAGAGCTCATATGGGATGCTGGCACTGAATGTGGTGGCTTTACCCACTATGCCACAGCGTTGGCACCTACCCTGCACTTCTGATCTAGCTTCCTGCTAATGCACCTGTGAGGTGGTGGATGATGGCCCAAGGACTTGAGTTCTTGTCACTCATGTACATGAGTCACTTAGATGGAGTTCATGGCTTCAGCCTTGTGCAGCCCGGACTCATGGGGGCACTTGAGGAGTGAACCAGAGGATTGAAGGTCTCCCTCTCCCTTCTCTCTCACTCTTTCATTCCCTTTCTGACACTCTACCTTTCAAATAAATAGATAACTCCTTTTTGAAGAAATATGTCTGAGTATTATGTAAGGCCTGTTCCTTGCAGAATAGAGACCAACATCTCAATTGTTCTATATAGTATGATTCTTCTGATAGAACCTAAAATCATAATCACTACTCAGGAACTTCATCACATAGTTGACTAATTCTGAGCTTGCAGAAAACAGTATAACTCTTTTTTCTAAAATCTATTGATTTGCTCTATCAGTTTAATCCTGAAGTTAGTGCTTCTGCTTGTTTGATTTCATTTTGGCCCAGATACTGAGTTTCATGCTTAGCTACATTAACTTTAATTGTGCTCAATTTACTGTTGTGTCATTTCAGCCCATTGAGGTCATTTTGGACCCTTTCTCTGTCGTTTGCTTTTATGTCAATTCAAAAAGAATAGCTTTCACAAATAGTGTCCATTTTGTGAAACAAATACCAATTTTTAATTTTTTATTTACATCACTATTATATTCTGTTCACAGTATGTTGCCATCTGTCATACTTTATTTAACTTGATAAGTCTGTTTAAAGAGTATTTGTAGACCTATGGGGATTAGATTCTCTTTTGAAAGTTCAACACTTACATCTGAAAGTAAAGTCAGTCCTTCATGTATAAACAAACTGCCACTATAGCTAAAACTTATGAAAGGAGAGGGAGAAAGTAGAATTCATAATAACAGAATCAGTTTCTTTTCCCAGAGTAGATAAACATATCATCCAAACAACTAATGTGGCAGATCACGTTGGACCATTTTAATCTATTGTCCATGGTACTTTATCTTAAGTTTGACCCTGTCTATTAGTTTCCCCAGATGGTGGAGAAGATTATGTGAGATGGTAGTAGAAGAGCCTGGTCCATGACTGGCATATAGTTGGTACTAAGTATGTATTGTAGTGATTTTTTAATCCCTCACCATTTTCATCAAGCTGTGGATTTCTCTCTGTGTTACTGATAAATAAATTTCATCCACCATGTTTCAGTTTCTTTTTTAACATGATGATGGATATTCTTCCCAAAGTCTCATTTACCTCCTGTGTCCTGGACTTCACATAGAGTTCCGTTTGAATTAAACGGAGCAATATTTGACAAGAGCAGATGCTGGTATCAAGTGTATTTTGAACCTACAGAGTCCTAGCATATGGAGAGTTGATGGGAAAGCAAAGGCTGATCAGATCTGAAGGAAAGGCTATTTGCTAGAGGAAAACCTGATGGGCTTGAGCTTCAGACTGTCCTAACTCATTTCTCATCTCTTTAATACACTTAAGAAAGGTGATTTTGGAATGGAAATGAGAAGGTTTGCTCAGGTAAGTGTCATTTGAAAAATGTGTTGCTTCTGTCCTTCATGACTCACTTGTGATTTCATCTGCTTTCAGCTGATTGAAGACAAAGGCAAGAAGGGCCTTGGTGTGTCCTCCTAGTGTCATGGTCACTTTTTGACCTCCCACTTGTGAAAGTACAGCCATCAAGCTGTGTGCCCCTGTGCTTCTCATCTACCATATGTCAGTGGAAAATCAGTGCAGCATGTAAAATGTAAGTCCCTAAAATCAACCAAGGTGATTGAGATTTAAACAATAATTGCCTTACTCCTGAATGTCCACTTTTTCGTCTGTAAAATGGGGATAACCAAAGTATTCACTTTAAAGGCTTATTGTGATAAAGTGATAATATGTTATCTGCTGTAAGAAAAGTACTTAATGAGTGTTAATTGTCATCATTGTTAATGTTTTACATAATTTTATTGTCTGCTACAACTTGAGTATTATTTCTCAAAATATATGAAGCACACCAGGGAGATTGAATATTCTTCAATTTTCCTTTTGTTAAAGAATATCACTAATTTTGTTCCCCATAAGACTACACTAAGTCTAAAAATCAATTAATGAGTGTATTTAATAGGAAAGACTAAGTTGACATCAGTGTGTAACATGGGTAGGACTGTAGAGGAGATGAAGATAGATTTATTAGGGCAGCCTGAGTTTTTTTTTTTTTTTAAATACTTGGTTTTTTTTAAAGGCAGAATGACTAGGAGGAAAAGAGATCTTCTGGCTGCTGGTTCACTCTCCAAATGATTGCAGTGGCTGGGGCTGGACAAGGCCAAAACCAGGAAGCTGGAAATTCATCTGGGTCTCCCACATGGGTGGCATCTTACAAAACTTGCCCCAATGTGTTAACAGGGAGCTAAATCTGAAGCAGAGCAGCCAGGACTCGAACCAGCACTCCAGTATGGGATGCAGGCTTTATAAGCAATGTCTTAACCCACTGTACCACAACACCAGCCCCAGGACATTCTTGTTTATTTTAGAAGCAGCAGTAGGGATGGAAAGGGAAATGGGGATGAATATAAAAGTTACTGAGTAGTTAAGGCTAGGATAAATGGATTGGGGTGGGGGGATCCAAAATGAATGCAACTTTGAAATCAGGTCATGAGGAAGGTTGACAGGCCAGAAGGGTATATGCTGAGTATCAGAAAAGGAGCAGGCTAAGAAGTAAATCTGATGTATTTCATATTGTATACATCAAATTTGATAATCAGCACATGCACATATTATCCAAAGCATGGGGAAGAAGTGAGGCTATGGGAATGCAGTGTTGTCTAACAATAATGTGGAGAAAAGAATTGAAGAAAACATCAGTTACAACCTTGGAGAAGACCCACATTTTGGGATGGAATGAAAGTGCTTATGAAGCTTGAGATGGTGTATTTGCCAAAGAAATGATGGAGTTCCAGAGAGTGTTGGGTCAGTGGATCTAAGGAAAGCTTATTAAGGGGCTGGCACTGTGGCATAGTGAGTTAAAGCCGCCACCTGCAGTGACAGCATCCCATGTGGGTGTTGGTTCAAGTCCCAGCTGCTCCACTTCCGATCCAATTCTCTGCTATGGCCTGGGAAAGCAGTGGAAGATGATCCAAGTCCTTGGGCCCCTGCACCAGCGTGGGAGACTTGGAAGGAGCTCCCGGCTCCTGTCTCTGGATCCCTCCAGATACGGCCATTATGGCCATTGGGGGAGTGAGCCTATAGATGGAAGATACCTCTTTCTCTCTCCCCCTCTCTCTCACTTTCTCTCCCTCTCCCTCCTTCCCTCCCTCTGCCTCTCTGTAACTCAGCCTTTCAAATAAATAAATAAATCTTTAAAAGAAAAGCATATGAAAATGGAAGAACATTAAGTACTACAGAGCTCTAAGGGATTTGTGAGCCAAGAAAGGAAAAACTGTTGAAATTCACTTATTGTGACACTGATGGAAGCAAGACGGTGGCCATTGTAAAGGGCATGTGTTTTAAGATGGGAACTGTAACTTCTTAGCCTTGTTTTACTAAATGGGTAATAAGCAGATAATACTAGTGCCTGTTTCGTAGGGCTATTGTGTAGACAGATGGAATAATTCATGTTACTATCTATCAGAATGTGTTTATGTTTCAGGTTATTTGACCTGCCATTAAATAAAGAAGAAGAAAGAGTATAGTTTTCTGTAGACTCTCAAATTGTTGGCATTATGTTTCTTTGTATGTGGAATATGGCATGGGTCCACATTGGTGCATGTGGCAGAGGGAGAAAGCCTCCAATAAAGACACTGCCTGACACACACATGCATCCACAGAGACGCAGACACACACACACACATAGCTCCTTTCTAGAGTGTCAAAGCTTTCCCAAGCCCCTGTTTGACCCAGTTCAGTCACTTCTCCCTTTGGTGACCCGTACACCTAAAAAGTATCAGATGAAAATTACTAATGCCTCTCATTCAGGCTATTCAAGTGCATTTCCTATATTGAGATTATGACAGAGGGTCTACGAGTTTTAATAAAATGCTTTAATTCACATTTGTTTCTGTATTCCCCTTCCCTCTAGAATCAACACTGTAGGAATGAAAACATATTTTAAAAACAGAACCTAAATTATGAGAAATTAGTGAATGGAAACCTATTGGTAAGTTTTGAGTTAGCTTTTTGTTTTCGATGCAGTAAATAATTGAAACGAAACCACACACCACATCCTGCTCAGGGTGGCATATGATACCGGCAGTATATGTGTGAATTTACAATGTACAAATTCTTTTCAAATCCATTTCCTCGTTACCTCCTGGCCAGCAAATATGTAAGGGGTGTGATAGCCAGCCCTTCAAGACGTGCATCACCTGCCCCCCACGATTCCCAGGGGTTCACATACAACAGTTCATAGACTGTGCTACGAGGAGTCGGTTCTGATACTGCATTTGTTTTACAGAAGCAGAGCACTGAGAATTTTCGATTCTTGCCTGATGTCACTCAGCTAAGAGGTCGGGGAGCCGCGATTCAGACCCTGGTGTCTAGCTTCACAGTCTGTGCCCCGCTGCTTTGCCCAGCAGCCTCTCTGAAGTAATGACACTGTGTCTTCACAGGACACCTGCCCGTGTAAATGGAAGAAACAGAGCCGGGGATAGCGTCTGCCTCAGGAATGTGGATTTGGGGTATGTTTAGTGGGGGCATATTTCCCGACAGTTTTTTTTTTTTTTTGACAGGCAGAGTGGACAGTGAGAGAGAGAGAGAGAGAGAGAAAGGTCTTCCTTTGCCGTTGGTTCACCCTCCAATGGCTGCCGTGGCCGGCGCGCTGCGGCCAGCGCACCGCGCTGATCTGATGGCAGGAGCCAGGTACTTATCCTGGTCTCCCATGGGGTGCAGGGCCCAAGGACTTGGGCCGTCCTCCACTGCACTCCCTGGCCACAGCAGAGAGCTGGCCTGGAAGAGGGGCAACCGGGACAGAATCCAGCGCCCCGACCGGGACTAGAACCCGGTGTGCCGGTGCCGCAAGGTGGAGGATTAGCCTAGTGAGCCGCAGCGCTGGCCCCGACAGTTTTAAAAGCAGATAGGATTGCCTTCTTACAGATGTGAGAACCTAATGCTAGAAGAAGTTTATGGCTTGTTAGATTTGCTTCATTATTTATAATCATTTTTATAGTTATGATCTTTTAAAAACAATCTCTACTGAAATATTTTAATTAGCAAACATAGTAATGCTAATTGCAGCTGTTAAAACCATGTAGACTGGAATCCCCTCCTATGTCTGGTCTCCATTGCTACTCAATTGAAGTGAACAGTGTTAACCCAGACATGAATCTATTATAACCATCATCAGGGAAAATACCAGCACACAAAGGAACACACACACATTAGCAGTGTGGGAAAGAAATGTTGTTGGCATCAGATGTAGCAGGAATTGAGCCATTTCATATAGATTCCTCTTAACTTGCTGGTGTAATTTAACAACAGGTCATGGGAAATGATTGTGGTTTCATGTCTTTAACATATAATGCTTTAATCCATTTTGAATACATTTGGGCATCTGTGTAAAGTAAGGCTGTCCTTTCCCAAATATCCAAATTACTCATCTTGCTCCTGCTCCATTGCCTAAATTCTGGGCCAATAACGCAGTGAGTTCATTGTCATTGCCATTGAACTCCCCTTGGAATCCATTAAGGTATAGTCCTTCCTTGTCCCTTCCTCTTTTCTTCTCCCTGATCTTGCAGATGGATTTAACATCTGTTTGCCAACTCCCCCTAAAGGGGTTCCATTGAGATGTCAAAAACATTTTGAAACTCAAAATTAATTAAAAAAAAACACATTGTCTTTCTAATTATAAGTTTCCCTTTTAGGAAAATTCCTGGAATAAGCATCATCTTACTCAAGTCTTCTCTCATATTCTGCAGTTTTAGTTGCATTTTTATGTTTTATTTTTTTGACAGGCAAAGTTAGACAGTGAGAGAGAGACAGAGAGAGAGAGAGAGGTGAGTAACATGTTGGTTCACCCCCCCCAAATGGCTGTTATGGCTGTTGGTTCACCCGCCCCCCCCCCCCCAAATGGCTGTTAGGCCGGTGCGCTTTGGCAGGCGTGCTGCGCTGATCCAAAGCCAGGAGCCAGGTGCTTCCTCCTGGTCTCCCATGCAGGTGTAGGGCCCAAGCACTTGGGTCATCCTCTGCCTTTCCAGGCCACAGCAGAGAGCTGGACTGGAAGAGGAGCAACCGGGACAGAATCTGGCGCCCCGACCGGGACTAGAACCTGGTGTGCCGGCGCCTCAAGGTGGAGGATTAGCCAAGTGAGCCACGGTGCAGGCCTAGTTACATTTCCATACCATTCATGAACAACCATCACTGAAAAGCTCATTGTAGGCGTTTTAGGTTTTATCAGTGTCACAAACAGCTTCTTTTTTCCCATTCTTTTTTCTGATGGATGTTTGCTGAAACACTGATTTCTATAGAGCTTTTCTTTTTATTGCACTTCACAAACATCTATATACCATTTTCTTTGTTCCAGACATGTTACATGTTTTGGTAAATAGTGTATTAAAACTCCTGTGTTTTCGCTGCTGTATCATCAAGGCCTAAAACAGACAATGCCATCTGTGCTTTAGAGGTAGCTCCACATTAGCAGCACATCATCCAGTGCTAGATATTGCCAGAGAGAACGAGAAGATCCCTGGCTTCGGGGGCCTTTCCTCTCTGGACAGTAATCTAGAACATTCGGCTCTGTTCTGGCATCGGGATCTTCGGGTAAACAGGTTGATAAGACTTTGCTGCTAAGTGGCCCAGGTTTGCCTGAGCAGCCACGTGGAAGCCACTCTCCAAGGCTCACTTTGGTGAACTGTTTGGCAATGTAATCAGAGGGCTATAGCCGGCTAGTTAGCAGGTTGACTCACAGCTCGAATCCTGATGGTTCCAGATGGGAAGGGGAAACCTGTTTGTGAGTCACAGTGCTCAAGGGATCACCATCCTTTTTCGCTCTTGGGGCTGACTGATGGTTTCCTCATTTCCTTCGTTGCTGCCCCTTACTGAGCTGGAATAATTGCATCGGTTTCAAATGTTTGCAGATGATGAAATGAGGAAGTTCCTGTGTAATCAATCACCCGGGCCATGCTGTCCTTCACAGGACACAGCTGAGTGCCCACACGTCTCTACCTCGGAGCACGGCTACAGCTCTTGCTTAAAACACTGTTGTACTTTGCACGCCAAAGACAAACACTCTGTCCTCATCTAACACTTCTGTGTTGACACCTGTCAAAAGTTTTAAGGGTTTCATGAACAGCAAATCGGTACAAATCACCGATGCATCATTCGGTTGCCTGTCTGTAAATGACACTGGGCTGTGGTATCCTCAGAACTTCCTTCACTGATGTATTTCTGTTCCTCTGACCCTCAGCCCGTGAGCCCAGGCTGCCTTGGGCTACTTATTGAAACTTAAAAGTGCCAGTTAGTGCCTGGCGTGGTAAATCTTCCTTAGTCGCACTGTTGGGGATTGTATCAGAATATGCCCTTCTGAGTGAATATAATGCCACTTGGTCAAATTCAGGAGGAAAAAATTCTGTGAGGATTTTAAAAATGCGAGTTATATCAAATTTTACATTTTATATATTGTGCATATTGAATATAAACATTTTAAAATGTATAATACCTATTGAATTTTGCAAAAAAAGCATAAGTATCAAATGTTCGATCTGGAGTAATGGAAACATATATGAGGAGTCTTCAAAAAGTTCATGGAAATTGCATTTTATGAAAAATCTATGCATGAATTTCAAAACTTTCTGCACCAAATTAAACTGATGTTTTAATTCCATTTTTTGAAGAAAGTACCTATTATCTCTTTTTTTTTTTTCTGACTGGCAGAGCGGACAGTGAGAGAGAGAGAGAGACAGAGAGAAAGGTCTTCCTTTGCCGTTGGTTCACCCTCCAATGGCCGCCACGGCTGGCGCGCTGCAGCTGGCACACCACACTGATCCTAAGGCAGGAGCCAGGTGCTTCTCCTGGTCTCCCATGGGGTGCAGGGCCCAAGCACTTGGGCCATCCTCTACTGCCTTCCCTGGCCACAACAGAGAGCTGGCCTGGAAGAGGGGCAACCAGGAAAGAATCCGGCGCCCCGACCGGGACTAGAACCCGGTGTGCCAGCGCCGCAAGGCGGAGGATTAGCCTAGTGAACCGTGGCGCCGGCCTAGTACCTTTTATCTCTTTAGTCCAGTCTCCTTTCATGTGCCTTATGAAATGATTATGATTTCACCTGGGCTGTTGGAACTATCTTACCGGTTTTTAAAGTATCTTAGTATGTTTATTTTTGTGCATTTTCTTCCCTTTTTGTTTCATCAATGACTTCTTTGTGTGTCTATCATCTGTGTACTTATCTGTCTACGATGTTTCTGCCTACCACTTTTACCTGTCTTAGATTTCATAGTTTTTCATTTGTTATCTTGGGATTTCTAATTGGATCAAACATAATCCATGCATTTCCAGAGCATCATTAAGAGTAGATGAATAATGTACATTAAGTAAAAGAAAACACATCCTCATTCACGCTCTGTGCACATGGCCATGTAGGAGGACTCAGGAGAGTGCTTTTTCTGAGTACTCCCCCCAAATGAAACCCCTGATGCCCTGGAAAACCTTTGCATGTCGTGAATGGCCATGCTCTCTGCAGGTGGTTCAAACCACAGCTGCTAGAGAAGGCCCCTTTGCTACACTCACACCTCCAGGGAAAGGTGTGTGGGCTTAGATAGCTGAGCAACATGTCTGGAGCCTTGGGCTGTAGAACTGGGATCACGCGTGGGTAACATAACCCTTAGCATTCTGGGTCAGTCGCAGGTGAGTTCACTCTTGAGCTGTGCGGCAAGGGCAGAGGAGCAGTGACCCCATCTGCTGCCTGGGCTGTTGGGAAGATCCAAGGGGAGAATCCTCAGGAGGTCCCAGCGCAGTGCCTACCTGGAATGAGCTCTTAGGAAGGCCTGTTCACATTGCAGGTACCATTTGCTTCCTGAATATGTGAAAACTTTAAGTTGTAGAAGTTATATGTAGTAGAGCAAGTAAATGACATGCATTTCCCTGTAGTTCTAAGATCAAAATGTTTTTACTTAGGAGAGTTTCAGGTGCTCAGTTTCATGGAAGCAGGGGACAAAGGTATGTGAAGGGAGACTGAGGATCTCTGGAGCCCCTCTCCTGGTCATCCACTCCTTGAGCTTACCTTTAGGACTTCATTGTTGGCAGCTCTGAGACCATTCAGAAACTGATCACATACACAGATGAAAGTCACTTAGAATGTGCATATGCACACCCACCACAAACCTCTCCCCTAGATCCTCTAAAATACGTTTTCCTGGGTGCATAGCCAATGGTCTGCACTGCCCAGCTACCACTGAGACCCCTCTGTCAGTAGCAATGAAAAGTAACCTTCAGAAGTTGTTCCTTTTAAAAACAGCAAGTATGCTATTCGTTTCAACTTTTCTAATTTTTTTCTCACCGTATGCCCTGTGTTTCCAGATCAATAGGCTTATTTTGTGTTCCATTTTAAAATTCAACATTTTAAGCCATGTAAAATGTGTTGTGGGTAATTCTTAACTGTTTAAATTTTCTACAGGTATGTAATTTTTGTAACAACATTTAGTCATAGTGCTTGTTTCAACTCTGTGCATTCTTCTTCTTCTTCTCCTTTTGTTTTTTTGGTAAACCATTTATTTATTTGAAACAGAGAGGGAGAAAGAAAGAGAGGGAGGGTGGAAGAGAGGGAGAGAGGAAGAGAAGGAGAGGGAGATCTTCTTTACACTGATTTCACTCCCCTCAAAGGCCGCAACAGCCAGGGTTGAGCCAGGCTGAAGCCGGAATCTTCATCTGAGTCTCCCACATGGGTGGCAGGGAGCTAGGTACTTGGGTCATCTTCTGATGCTTTTCCCAGGCCATTAGCAGATAGCTGGATCAGAAGTGGAATAGCCCAGGACTCAAACTGGTGCCTATATGGGGTACCAGCATCATAGGCTGCAGCTTAATTTGCTGTGCCACAGCACAGGCTCCAACACCATCCATTCTTGAAAGAAGAAACCACATAGTTTTAATTTGATAGTTTTTCAGTTCCATTTTGATACCCAGTATGAGGAATGTCATTACTATTTAATTTCATTTTGTGAATGAGTTCTGAAAGCTGAATTGACGAAATGTACCTATTTAAATACGAATTTATTTTAGACCAGTACTTCCTGGCCCCATCTCAAGAACTTGATAACCGTATGTGGCTAGTGTCTCCCTATTGGGTAAAGTGGGTGCAGAACATTGGTATCATTGTAGAAATCTCTCTTGGACACCCCTGCCAGAGTCACGTATTTTGGGATTTTTAATGAAGTTTCCCTAAACTGCCAATGAAATGAAATTCAACCTCTTACCCTACAGGGTCTTGCTACACAGAAACATGGATCTAACCATTGGTTCAAGATTTTGTTAATATCCTTCAGTAATGTTTTATTGGTTTATTTGTATAAGTTTCACATAATTTTTGATAACTTGGTTTTGTTACTCAAAGAGCAAGTATTATCTGATTTTTAGAGATGGATGACTTTGAGACTTGGGGAAATCAAGGGACTTATTAAGAGCATGTAATTGAGTTAATATTTGTTTACTCTGTATTTTTATTGACATTTTATTTATGAAAGCAGTTGCTATTGTGGACGTCCCTTCAGTGGGAGGTTTTCATGTTTTAAAGGTCAAATTTTGATGCTCTGCAAAAATGTTTCTTGATTTTTTTTCAGAAGTGTAAATGTTTTGGTAGTTGTTTATTTTTAAAATGTTGGTGAGTTGCAAAGATAACTTGTCCTATTGAGACTCATGCACAAGCATCTGATTTTCTCATGTGGTCTCTTGATTCTGATCCTTTGATCTGTGTCAATACTGGTCTCCCTGATGGGGTTTGTATGTGCTGTCATTTTACATCATGGTAATGTTTACTGTTACGTAAAGAGTCAAACATCATACCCAATCAGTTTGCATGCCACTTGGCTGGTGTCAAGATCATTCTCACATATTGCATCTCTTTGTTCTTTATTTTAATTCTGTGTGGTGGAAGTCATAATTTTATATATATGACAGAACATGTTTTAGAGGAGGTAAAGATTAAGTAAAATAATCAGTAAAAATGCCACGAAGTCCTGATGTTGATGAAAGCATTCAGTAAATGGTAATTGTTAGAGTAGGCATTGGCATCTTTTTTAGAGATGGGAATCCAGAGAGTTGTAAAGGCTAAGAGATGTTTTAAAAACATAGTGAGTTACATTGCTTTTTAAAAATTTTTTTGACTTTGTCTCTTGACTTTTCCTATACAAATGGTAAAAAAAAAAAATTCATTGCTAAAGTGTTAGATGAAAGAAACTTTTGGGAAAAAATGTTTCTGTATCACCATTTCTTCCACTCCGGAACTCTTTTTTTTTTTTTTAACTTTTATTTAATGAATATAAATTTCCAAAGTACAGAATATGGATTACAATGGCTTCCCCCCCATAATGTCCCTCCCACCCGCAACCCTCCCCTTATCCACTCCCTCTCCCCTTCCATTCACATCAAGATTCATTTTCAATTCTCTTTATATACAGAAGATCCATTTAGCATACATTAAATAAAGATTTCAGCAGTTTGCTCCCACACAGAAACATAAAGTGAAAAATACTGTTTGAGTACTAGTTATAGCATTAAATCTCAATGTACAGCACACTAAGGACAAAGATCCTACATGAGGAGTAAGTACACAGTGACTCCTGTTGTTGACTTAACAAATTGACACTCTTGTTTAAGGCCTCAGTAATCACCCTAGGCTCTTGTCATGAGCTGCCAAGGCTATGGAAGCCCCCTGAGTTCACTGACTCTGATCATTTTTATACAAGGCCATGGTCAAAGTGGAAGTTCTCTCCTCCCTTCAGAGAAAGGTACCTCCTTCTTTGATGACCTGTTCTTTCCACTGGGATCTCACTCATGGAGATTCTTAACACTCCTGACTTAAACACAGGGAAAATCCAAAACCATTTTCACATCCTTTTCAGGCTGAAAAAAAAAAACAAAACCACATTGATACCCACAGATGTGTATATATACCCCTATATCTAGCTCTATTTTTTTAGTTTATTTTATTTGAATGACAGAGCTACAGAGAGCGGTAGAGACAGAGAGAGAGGTCTCTGTCTGCTGGTTCACTCCCCAGATGGCCGCAATGTCCAGAACTGCGCCGATCCAAAGCCAGGAGCCAGGAGCCTCTTCTGGGTCTCCCACAAGGGTGCAGGGGCCCAAGGACTTGGGCCATCTTCTACTGCTTTCCTAGGCCATAGCAGAGAGCTGGATCAGAGAGGAGCAGCCAGTACTAGAACCGGCACCCATATGGGATGCCGGCGCTTCAGACCAGGGCTTTAACCTGCTGCGCCACAGTGCCGGCCACCCTAGCTCTATTTCTATATATATATATATATATATATATATATATATGTATTGTCAGTTTTTCTCTGTAAATAAGATCATGCTAAATAGATTATTCTGCAACAATGTTTTTCTCACAAACAATACATCACTGACATGCCTTTAAATAAAGTTTTTAAAGGAATTATATTTCAAAATTTATCTTTTGGAACTATTTATCTCATTTCAGTGAATTTTGGTGTATAGAGTAGAATGAAGCTTTAACTGGATTAGTCATTTAAAAATCTCAGATATTCCATTTCATTGGATTGCAAATCTTCAGTTAGATATCATTTATCCTTGTGATGCTTCCACATTGTTTCCATTTGTTGATGAAATCAGCAAATGTTTTCAGGTGCTGCAGACACATGAAGAAAGCAGCTGATGGTTCTTTTAGTAGCACGAGGTAGACAGTAAATATACCAGCGACCAATAGTATCAGTACTTTAATAACGAAATGGCAGCTTCCATATAGAGAGTGAGGGGAAGGGCTGAGTGAAGAGTTTCATTGGTAAGGTGGCATTTTAGAAGGGACTCTGAGAAAGTGAAGGAGCAAGTCTTTCTGCTGTCTGGAGGCAAAGCATTTCAAGCTGATAGAGAAGTACCTGATAATTTCTTGCATGGAAGGGTGTCCTGCAGTTTTCAAGGCAGAGAGGAGAGCAGTAGAAGAGGTGAGGGTAGTAGAGGATATAGGATGAATTTAAAAGGAAGGGGGTGCTAGCAGATCATTGAAGTCCTCTTCTAAGGCAAGGATTTGCTTACATTTTGTCTTGAATGATACAAGAAGCTACTGAAACATTTTGAGCCAAGTATTAGAATTGTCTGATTAATGCTTTCAAATGATAACACTGGTGAGTGTACCTGGTAGGTGAATTGAATATAGTCTTGAAATAGGTTATAATGGAAACAAATGCTGGGTTGGTGGTTTTCTTCTAGATTTTGGCCTGGTGTTTCCTTGTTAGGTCTTTGAGATTTTCTTTTTTTTT